CAGGAATGCATTTTCAAAGTGTTTGTTTTGACCATCAGTCAGATATCCCACTATTAAACGAAGAATTTAATAATCTAAGTCAAAATAAGTAATTGGTATCTGATATGACCTGCTACATGACAACTTTACAGGAGGAGAAACAGCCAGAAAATGAGCTGGCTTAATGGGATGCTTACACCAAGAATAAATAAGTAAATGAAATGTAATGAAAACTGAATTCTGCTCAAGATCTTTTCTTCGTCATTTCCTTTAAGCACAGATTCTTGATCTAATATTTTCTTAGTTTTTCTTTCTTAAAAAAGAATTAAATAGTTGACAAACTATCAAGTATCCAAAGTTTTTTAACCCTGGAGTCAACAGATATAGTCGACGTACAGTGAAATCAATTCAGCTGGTTGTATAAAACAGTATGCTGGTAATAAAAACATAGTCGTAAAACATACTCATAATTAGCTGTAGGACAGCATGAACTTATGTGTGTGTATAAAAATTTAGATATGCAATATAGAACTTACCTAAATGACATCTGTCTCTTCCCTTGTTTTTATTTTGCCTGCGTTTCATTTAATGTATAGCCTGGGAGTACAAGGAAGTTACAGTTCAGAAAAATGGTCATAATAAAAATGATAGTATGTTAAAATGTAAACACATATTAAAGCAGCTGGAAAATTACTTTGAAGTAAATTATTTAAAAAGTAGATTTTGTTGTCCATTCTTGTGTTATCTTGAATTTTCAGTCTCCCTTACAGTGTTAAAATTATGATTCTGTGAACTTCCTATAAAATAAACAGAGGCTCAATCTTCTGTGCAAATATAAATAAATTGATCATGACCTGTGAGTTATTTTTTTAAACCCATTTTAGATTGGAGCAATGATGTTCCAAGAGGCTGCATAAATAATACACTTCAATATTGTATAGCTGAAGTATATTTCACAAGCTGGTGATCTTGTGTCATAGGTTAACCAGCTGCAGCATGAACTGTCAAAGAAGGATGACCTGCTTCGTATTGTTTCGATTGCTTCTGAGGAGAGTGAAACTGATTCCAGCTGTTCCACACCACTTCGTTTTAACGAGTCTTTCAATGTACCACATGATCTGCTGCAGCTGGATGTCTTGCAAGATAAACTCAGAGAGCTGGAAGAGGAGAACCTTGCTCTCCGATCGAAGGTATATCCTACTTAGTGTATACCATCTATGCTAGATATGAAATAGACCAGGATGTTTTTTCAACCAGCATCTGGGTTTCTCTTAAAGTGTATAACTATTTTGTATCTCTGTATACAAATCATACCCAAACACTTTCCTTCCAGCCCCACATCCTTCTGTTTTCTTCACTACTCCTCATTATCTCCAGAGTCCTGTAGTAGTCCTTCCTCAATGCCCTTATGGTATGTGAAAGAATATGGGAACATATGTAAGCACCCAGGAAAAGTATTTGGACCCATTGGGCCCTCAAGCTTGTGTGACCTGTTTTGCTATAGATCTGTGAATAGTACTAGTTTGGGAATTCCGTTGTGTTGCCATTACATTTTTGTCAGCCTATATTCGATTTTAAGGATTAATAAATAAGGTTCTACTTGAATTCTTTTAAAGACTTGGTTTTGACAATATGGTTAGTCTCTGTATTTTGATTGTCCTGTCTCATGTATAAAACATGAATACAGGCACTGTGCCTGTATTCTGTAGGATACTGCTATCATTCTGTGATACAACATAACATTCACTGACTTCAAATAGCCCACGTGGTAACATTATGTAAAGAAGTGTATTTGCCTCCATTTGTGTAGCTGTACTTCTACTTGCTTGGATAATCTTTAAACCCACTTACTAAGTTTTTTGATGAGTCAATGGTGAACAGTCCTGAATAGAGAAGACTTACCTGAACAGTGTTATCATAGAATCATAAAATCATAGAATCAGTTAGGTTGGAAAAGATCTTTAAGATCATCAAGTCCAACGATTACCCCGGGACTGCCAATACCACCAGTAAACCATGGGCCTCACTGAGGGCTTCATCTACACTAAGGGCTTCATCTACACTATTTTTGAACATTTCTAGGCACTGCTTTCCTGGGAAGCCTGTTCCAATACCTGATCACCCTCTCTGTGAAGAAATTTTTCCTGATATCCAATCTAAACCTCCCATCATCTTCACAACTGAAAAGGAAGTGGGGAGCGTAGTATGCTTGATTTTATTTAGACCTGTTGTGAAACTCAGTCTTTGGCCCAGAAAATTTATAATCTAAATAGACTAGTTGGGGAATATGGAGAAAAGCTGTTCTACCGAGAGCTTTTCAGTGCCATAAAAGATGTGGCTAACATCATTCAGTTTTTAAAATTTCTTTGCCTTAAGAAGTTTTAAGCAAATTCAGTTGCTTATGTCTGGTTACTGTGTTGGCTTACTGGTAGACTCTTCAGTTCCAAGAGTTTTAGAAGTAAGAAACTATAACATTATTATATGTATAGCTAAACTGAAACTGGAATACCAATCATTTTCCTGAAGGCTTGCCATCTGAAGACAGAAACCATTACATATGAAGAGAAGGAACAGCAGCTGGTCAATGACTGTGTCAAAGAACTGCGTGAGTATCCAGGCTGTATCTTGCAATGACAAAATGGTATTTGAAATACCAACTGCCTGCAGCTTCCTAGTTATCACTGAATCAAAAAAACGAGCTTTAGTAATTCATGCCAATTGTTCAAGTTCTGCTCTTTACCCAAGTACAAAGTTGTTTCTGTATTTCATCAAGTTTCATTCTTGACATCCAACTTGAGGTGTGTGTACTATGTTTAGAGAGAGAAAATGAACACAATATTTAATGTCCTTAAGTCTCCTGAACTGAAGCCTACAGACACTGGAAAATCAACAAAATACACTTCTTGAATAGAGCATTTGGCACAATTGACACTGAAATGTATCAGTGCACAGACTCTTAAATGCTCATTGTAAATTATTATGTATCTATAAACACATTAGTTTATTTTTTAAATACATATTGTGAATCAAATCATTTCAATTGATGAGTGCTTTCAGTTTTCTAGAACAGTTGCCCATATTTGCTCTGGGGAGTACTTATTTGCAAAGAATTGCAGCTGCTCTTATACAAATGCCTATTAAGTATTCTGAAACAATAAGAAACAATCCTTTCTGTGTGGTGATTGTGTAACCTGATGGTACAGTTTATCTGTAGTCATTTGATGTGTGCTCTTCCTTTGTGCACACCTTATATTTTAAGATCTATTTTTTTTTCTATACAACCACCATAATGAAGACTGGATTGCTACTTGATTTTTCTTGTTCCAGGTGACCATAAAATACTATTAATTGATGCATACTTGGTTGTTATTCTGTCCTTCTGCGAAAATACATATATGCTTTGCAAATAGAAGGTATTTCATACAAGCTTTCCTATGAGAATGTCTGTGAGTTCTGTTTTGTCTAATTCTATAGCACATATGGGCATCCTAGGTTATTTTGACTCACAGAAGCAATCTTCTCCCAAAGAATGTCTAGTCTAAAGCTTTAAAATCTGTATCTTCAGGAAAAAGATATCTGACTGTGAGTTTAAATGTCCATAGGTCTATGGGCAGGACCTTGTTCTGCAGTAAATATGTGACGTAGAATAACCACCAAATTTGTGGTATGACCTTTATGCAAGATTGATCAAAATTAATATGATTTTTATATACTTCCAGGGCAATTGTACAAGCCAAACTAACTGCATAAAAATGTTTTGGCTTTTTGAGTTGCTTTGTCATATCACTTGATGAAGTGCTTGCTCAAAGCAAAAAAGAAATGGGAAATTGTATGCAGTAGGTCTTTGGGGAATAGATAGTGACCAGAATCAAGAGCTAAATAGGTGTATGTTAATGACTGACAGAGTCTGACACAATGTCTTGGCTTACAGGAAATGGTAGTTAATAACAAGATCAATTCAGAGGCTGATTTCTTCAGCATATTCCAAGTCTGGCCTTGTCATGAGCCAATATGTAGTTTGACATTGTTTATAGAAGCTTACCTTGGATTTTATTATGGTCATGTCACATACTTGTGATGTGTATTTCAGGTTCTACATAGCTCTTAATATGTTACACCTGCATTTGAAGTTACCTCTCTTTCTTCTCCTCCTCCCCACCGTTTAACTTTTCCTTACGGATGTTCAAAGGCACCTATTCTTACGTACTATGAATTGACTTCCTAAGAGTATTGGTCATGTTGCAGATTGTTGTTCACTTTCACTGATCTTTTCTGGGTTTTGTGTTTGGTTTGTGTTTTTATCATATATTAGGGAAAGCTCTCTACTAAATTCCTTTTATGTTTTGTAGGGCAAACAAATGCTCAAATCTGTAGAATAACAGAGGAGTTATCAGAGAAGAGTGAGGAGTTGGTTCGCTACCAGGAAGAGATCTCATCCCTCTTGTCTCAGATCGTTGATCTCCAGCATAAACTCAAAGAAGTAAGGGAATGCTGATCAAGAGTGTGTGTGTGTGTGTGTGTGTGTGTGCATGTGTGTGTGCACACCAGTGCTTACAGCAGGTAAAACTTGACTTGCAAGCCAAGGGGTTACACTGCAAGAGAGCGGCTGTTTCAGGAAAGTGTGGCGGAGGGAAATCGGCTGAGAAAATGATGAGCACCTTCTTGTGCTTTCAGCATGTGATTGAAAAGGAGGAGCTGAAACTTCACTTACAAGCTTCCAAAGATGCTCAGAGACAGCTGACGGCAGAGGTACTTAAGGCTTATGCATATATATACACACATTTACATAAATGTTTGGAATAGAATACAAGAGGAAGAAAACTAAGAAAGAATGGGAATCACTGTTTTTTCATTATCGACTTTTCATTTTTCATTTTGTGGTTGGAGTCATATGATTGGCAGAAAAGAGTAATTATTTAAGTGTACACAAATGTTTTCATAGTTCAAAGGAATACAAAATGCAAGGAATGTGTTCCTAGTAGGGAGGTCTTTTGATTCATAGTACTTATGAGAAAAAGAGCATTTTAGTGTGAATATTACTGATTATATCAACAGTACTGTAGCTTATTAGGTTTTAAGGAAGTTCTCTTTTTTTTTGCTTCTTTTGCATGAGTATTACTGTATTTGCAGAGTTTTCTGATGTATTTTCCAGTACTTTCTCCTCTTTTGAGTTTTAATCTGGACTTCATGTTTCACCATTAAAATTGGTGCAGGTGCTATGCTAACTATTGTCCATTCCAGATGTTGGCATGTGCCATGCAGTTGGAAATGTATTATGGTGTTGAATCAGTTGTTAGAAGTTTCTGTAGGAGTTAATTCAGTTTCATTCTGTCTTTTCTTTGAAGGTTACTGGTATCATATAATGGCCTCTCTTCTCTTTCAGCTACATGACTTGCAAGATCGGAATGCAGAGTGTCTAGGGATGTTGCATGAATCACAAGAAGAAGTGAAGTTGCTGCGTAACAGAGCCAGATCTGTTGCTTGTCTCTGCCACCCTCAGTCATGTGGAGCATTTCTTGTGGTAATATATACTGCTAGTATTGCATACATATATTGGCACATATGGCCTGTAGAAGCATACAACTGTATGAGTAAAACAACCATTACAGGAGCTGCAGCAGTAGTAGTCAATAGTTTTCCAATTTGTTAGTGTGTACACTTTTGAGAATTGTATGTATTAGGAAACTAACTGTTCACTTGACACATTGTGATATTAAAATTATTTTTCCTTATTATATGCCTTTTCTGTTAAATAAATGAATTGGCATGTTTTACAGCTAGTGCTCAGTTTCAGAAGAGCTCTTATACTTGTAGCTTATCTTAAGAAACCAACATAAAGAGTACCAAGAAAAAGCAGATGTTGATAATAAGAACTGAATCAATCCATGCTGGTAATACAGAGATACAGTTATGGTGAAAAACTACCCCCAGACTCTTCCTTCAGAGACAGAAAGGTTTGTCCAAAACATACTGATATCAGCTATACAACTGGAGATTTTTTGGGAGTATTTTTAACAGAAGTTTTCTGCTAAAATAATTGGGAGGAAGACTTCAGGCTAGATTGTCAACTCTTCTGGTTTCCATTTTTCTCTAGGATTCTCTTGCAGCAGAAATTGAAGGGACAATGCGGAAGGAATTGAGTCAGGGTGATGAATCTGTTCTCTCCAAGCAAAAGTATGTTTTCAAATCTCTGTGCTATTTCAATATTTTTCCATATGCTTGTATTAAGCAAGATGAACCTGATCTCTGGAAATCTATAAAAGTGAATATTCCCTTTATAATAATATTTCTACATAATAAAGAAAGCTTTGTAGTATTTGGTAATCTTTAAAACTTTGGTATCTACTGTTCTTACTTGATTCTATGAGGAAGTTGGGTATTTCCTGAGAGGATGTTATTTCATTCTTTAATTTGTGAGATTTTTGATGCAAATTTTCTGATGCGCAGCACTAGTTTTATCCCTTTTACTACTTACAGAAAAACTCTCAGGCAGATGAAATTATAGGTGAAAGAGTGATAACAATTTCTAAAGCCCTGAAAACCTGTTACTTCTGAGCAAGAAGTAATAAATCATATGTATGCTTCTGAAAGAATGTAGAAATTAAATAACTAAAATCCGTGCTCAAGTGGTTATCAATAGAGGCCCAGGTCTTTCAGCTCAGACTAAGTGCTAATTCTGATATTTAGTAGAGTAATAGTACTGAAATCATGAATGTCTTAGGCAATCCTGTTTTTCTGGGCTTAAATCTTTTTAGTCGGGTCTCTGCAGACTTATGAAACTCTGGTGTTCAGAGCTTTTTCTTTATTATATCTTTTTCAAAATTAATATGAAAACCACATTTGTTTGCTTGTCTTTTCTGCAGGGATCAACAGAAACGAGTATTTGACACTGTCAGGGTTGCTAATGTCACTCGTGGCCGCTCGTCTTCCTTTCCTGCCCCATTGCCAATCCCTGGATCTAATAGGTCAAGTGTTGTTATGACAGCAAAGCCCTTCGAGTCTGGCATACACCAGTTGGAGAGCCATGCACGGGTGACCCAGAGGAGCAGCTCTGAGAAGAATTTGAAGTAGGAAGCACAGCCTTTTATCTTCTTTCTAAACTAACTGATTCTAAACTAAATCCAGACTAGAACTCTGCTGTGTAGGAGAGAAATAGTTAATTTAATGGTCTTAACATCTATTATTATTTGATGTTCCTCACAGAGACACTCGTAATCCTGGCCAGCCGGGAATCCCGGGAGACAATGGCTTAGTTGCAGCTCTGCACAGGCTCTCCCTCCGTCGTCAGAACTACCTGAGTGAGAAGCAGTTCTTTGAGGAAGAATGGGAGCGAAAAATGCATTTGCTGGCTGAGCAGAAAGAAGGGGCTAGTGGCTGTAGTACACCCACAGAAAGCTGTTTTGCCTTGGGCACAAACTCAGAATTCACTGATCTCTCTGCCAGCTCCAATAATCTCCGTGTTCTCCTACCAGAAAAATTGCAAATTGTCAAACCCATTGAAGGTAAGAGGATGATTTTCCTTTTCTCATCAGCAGAAAATGATTTTATATTATTTTGCCAACTAGTCATTGTTGGTATGTGTGTATAGTTATAGGTATGGTATGCAGTAAGAAGAAGTAGTAGTATATGGCAGGCTACATGCCAACTAGCTAGCTCATCAGTATCACTTTCTACTGGCTTTCTTACATGGTGCTAGATGTTGGGCTTTTTCTTGGCGTTGCTGTCCAAGTGTGTCATGTATCACAATGTTGACACCAGCTGGCTGGAGCTGTTCTGATCATGAATTCGCTTGGAGTACTGTGTGCAGTTCTGGTGTCCTCAGTATAAGAAGGACATGGAGCTGTTGGAGCAAGTCCAGAGGAGGGCCACAAGGATGATTAGAGGGCTGGAGCACCTCCCGTATGAAGATAGGCTGAGAAAGTTGGGGCTGTTCAGCCTGGAGAAGAGAAGACTGAGTGGAGACCTCATAGCAGCCTTCCAGTATCTGAAAGGGGGCCTACAAGGATGCTGGGGAGGGACTCTTCATTAGAGACTATAGTGATAGGACAAGGGGTAACAGGTTCAAACTAAAACAGAAAGTTCAGGTTAGATGTAAGGAAGAGGATTTTTACAGTGAGGGTGGTGAGGCACTGGAACGGGTTGCCGAAAAGAGTGGTAAATGCTCCATCCCTGGCATTGTTCAAGGCCAGGCTGGACAGATCCTTGGGTGACATGGTCTAGTGTGAGGTGTCTCTGCCCATGGCAGGGGGTTTGGAAGTAGATGATCATAAGGTCCTTTCCAAACCAAACTATTCTATGATTCTATGAATTCTTGTAATTCAATACCATAGTAGGTAATGGCTCTCTGAGACTCTTCTCTATTGTCTCACCAGGATCTCAGACCCTTTTTCATTGGCAGCAGCTTGCTCGACCCAACCTAGGCACCATTCTTGACCCAAGACCAGGTGTTGTTACGAAAGGTTTTACCCCTCTGACTGATGATGCTGTGCACCACATCTCTGACTTGGAGGAGGATGATGAGGAAGGAGGAGGTATAACATTTCAAGTGCAGCAGTCTGTCCTGGAGGAAAAGAAATGTACAGCAGCAAAGCCAGTGGCAGGGATTTTCCTCCCACCTCTTACTTCAGCGGCAGTACCACTCACCGGTAAGAAGCATAGGTAGTGTGTTTTCCTCTGTTTATTTTACAGTGTTTTCTTCTTCTCAATGGAAAGCATTTGACCTTGTGACAGTGCTGTCTTTGCTGTCTTTGTTCTTTAATAAAAAACATAGCAGTGATGATAACATTATCTTAAACTTTGCATTGATTAGTTCTTATCCGTCTTTATTTTTACCCTCAATGGATGTAAATTCTCCACATTGCAGCCTCAAATCCAGGGAAGTGTCTGTCATCCACAAATTCTACATTTACCTTTACTACCTGTAGGATCCTTCACCCATCTGATGTCACTCAAGTTACTCCCAGGTATGACAACTGCTGCTACCCTCAATGTTGCTGCATAGGATTAAACAGTTGCTTTCTGGCTTCTGATATATGGACCAGTTTTAAAAGATACCAAGACAGCCAGGCAACATATAGGATGTTAATCATACAGGTAGTTGTAATAAAAAGGGGAAGCTTGAAACTGAATTATTTCCAATTCTGTCATAATTTTTTTTTTAAACTAAGTTATTACTGGACATCTGTGTTGATACTTTGTCTAATATAGTGGATTATCTTCGGGCCTCGGAAAGTAAGTTCATTGGTACTTAGACCAAAACTTCTTTGTCAACCTGCTAAGTATTTTGCAGAACAATAATTCAGACTCTACTAAAGCTGAAACTGTCACATTTAATAGGAATAGGTTACTTTTTCTCAAGCCTTCTCTATACTAAAAGGCAAATACAGAGCAGACAGGTATAAAGATGTCTAATGTGTGCATCTTCTCTGTTTCATTTTTGTTTTCTTTCAGCTCCGTGGGTACCCCATTTTCACTTGGAAGCAATAGCAGCAGTATTGGAAACCCAGTAGTGAGCACTCCAACCATTCCTTACAGGCTTAGTATTGGAGAATTTCTCACGAACAGAAGAGACTCAACCACTACTTTCAGCAGCACAAGAAGTCTGGCTAAACTTTTGCAAGAACGAGGCATCTCTGCCAAGGTTTATGATAGCCCCATATTAGAAAAACTGCCTTTGCTTCAGGCCCCTCGAACTCTCCCCATTCCTTCTACTCCACCAAATTCTCCCTTGCGCTCGCCTTGTCCTTCCCCTCCACTGTTTGAGCATCGGGTGCATCATTCAGAAAATTTCCTGGCTTCTCGACCAGCAGAAACATTCTTGCAAGAAATGTATGGCCTGAAGCCCTCCCGTAACACCCCAGACATAGGCCAGCAGAAGATGAACCTGGTGGACAGGCTGAAGAGGCTGGGTATTGCCAGGGTCATCAAGCCCCCTGAAACGCAGGACTGCAGGAACAATCAGGAGCCAGAGGTTAGCTTGCGGAGGCAGGACTCAGCTGTGTTTTTAAATGCAGGTACCAACTTAATGGCAGGACTGAGAAGAAACCAGAGTCTTCCAGCCATGATTGGAGCACTGGGAGCTCCAGTTTGCACACAGTCGTCAAAAATGGATATCCTAAAGGAGGACTGACTGGTCTGAAAAATTACTGACTTCTAGCATAGTTAAATAACATGAGGGATAAACATCCAGTACAGGCATCATTAGATGTGTTACAGAAGAGTTGGCGAAGGCACGTGCATGTGAAAGATGTGGGAGAGAGAAGTGTTGGGATTGAGGACTAAAAGAACATTGCTTGGGTTTGAAGAAGAAGGCTTTTGTGGAAAATATGAAAGAAGAAACCAAAGCTTAGTTTTGAGGCCACCTTCAGCATCTGTCTTCACTTAAACAAATATGAAAGACCACGTGAGAGAGACATTCTTATTATTTTAACCTTTTAAACTCTATGTGTAAGATCTGTCTTGCAGGTGCTGTGCTATTTTTTTTTGTTTCCTCACCATATGGCCATAGTATTTTATCAGTTAGCAGTCAGGCTGTATCATTTAAAGACAACTTTAAAATAACAGTCAGTCCGACCAGCATTATTGGTCCAAGTTCCTCTCTGTAGCAAACAAATAGGCAAACTTGGATTTTATTTTTTTATTGTCTTTTCCATTTCAGAAGCTGTACTCTTTTGAACTCTTCTCCACTTGGAGGAGCCAGGAGAGAACCTATAGCTCTGTGTAAGAAAACAATACTTCTGTTTACAAACACAGAAACTGGTGGTCAGGATTTATATTTTGAAAGAGTGAAATTTTATTAGTGAGGTATTAACAGAAGTTGATTTCTTTCCAGAGCACACAAAGAGGAAGGTGCAATGAATAAGAATTAAGAAGTAAGAAAGTATGTGTTAGAGTGAAACCTTCAAGCTAAGAAATCTTTCCAAAGTGTGCTGTGCATCTTTTTAAATGAGGGCATTTTTGCGTGCACACAAAAAATTCTCAGGCACATTTCAGTGTTGCAAAAGGATATAAAACCTTGGTGCTCGATTCAGGGCTTCTTTATTTTGCATAAGCAGAGAACATTTACTGTAAGACAAGTGTAGGAAATTCTGTATCCTGACTCTTCTCTTGACAGGTAGACATTATGTGTATTTGTGAGTTCTGCACTAACTACATGCCTTTTTGTTCCCTTATTTCTGATTTTAGGTAGGATTTTGTTTAAAAGGTTTCATTAACGGCAAAAAGGTGTATTTTGTATTTAGAAATAGGAAGATGAAGGCTAGTGTTCTTTTTAAAGAACATAAATTTTGTCTACATTTAGATCCTGTGTTTTGATGATGGAGAGTGGTTCTGAATCTGTTTCTGAACAAAGCTGAGGCAGACTTTCCATCTCAAAAGAGAAGTCCATTCTAGAAATCTGATTTCTGAGTTGTAACCAGCAAAATATTACTGCCCTTGCTGCTTTTTTGATTCCTTCCTGTCCAAGGTTCTGAATAATCTACAACAGATTTATAGCGTAACTTATAGTTTCCATATAATTAGGTAAAATGGTCAAAATTTACCTCGCTTGTTACAGTGTGTGTGGGAAATAGCCGGTACCTGTCTGGATGTGTGGTGTGAAGCATCAATAGAATTACACTGATCTGCATTTGCCATAAGGGACATCCACCATAACGGGCACCCTTGCTGCTGCAGGGTTGAGTGGAGTAGGGCAGGAAAAGAAAGCTTCTTTACCAATTTCCTGTAAACCAGCTTATGTGGCCTTTTTGCTTTTACAGTTCTATATAGATCTTGTGATGACTCTTTGATACAACAGTCTTTTTTTAAAGGAAAAGGAGTAACCACTTAAAACTTGCACAGGGATTCTTAGCAGAAACTTGTCTGTCAGCAGCGCACAGAAAAATTCAGGAACTCCTGGAGTTGCCTTTTGCTCTCTAAGCAAAATTTTACTCTTATAAAAGGTGAATTTTATTTAAAATACTATATACGGGTTAATTTTGTTTTTTAAATGAAATATATTTAATTTCTTCATGTAAGTATTTATGTTTGTACATACTTAGCTATGCATGGGGCCTTGCCTAGGTAAATAAGGTAAGAGTGAAAGGAGGTGGGGGAGGCAATTTTGCTCTCCCATGTACAAGATGAGTATGTCTGTGGTATGTTTCTAACTCTAGGGAAACAACAGGAATGAGTTTACAAGATTAGATAGGTTGATATCAACAGGGAGGTGTATAGTGTGTCAAAAGTACGTCCGCTTTATGTATGTATATTATAGGAATATACGTAAGTTACAGAAAAATTTTTGAAGGTATTACACTGTATTTCTAACCAGCTTCATTAGATGGTTCCAACCATTGGATCATTCTGTGTGTTATCAGCAGAAGTAGCAAACCAGCTAAATCAGGATTCCTTTGGTGGACCAGGTTTCAGTTAAAATTAACCTAAAAGCACAACAATTTAATGCATGTTTCTCTCTGGGACACTTCCATATTCCATAGCCAAACAATATCAACTGGTTGAGTCAAACAATATGGTGGAGTTGTTGAGAAGTATGTTTGTTTGCTGTGGGATCATGTATCATCAGCTACTTTACCCAAAGCAAGAAGAAAATGGAAGAATTTGTACACCATTGTGTGTGTGTGTTTATCCAGTTGATTGATGCTGTGCTGCAATGCTGTTGAAATTCTGTTATGTGTTCATACCTTTGGATGGTCACATGCATTTTGTACATAGAATCATGGTTTGGGCTGGAAGGGGCCTTTAAAGGCCATCTAATCCAACCCCCCTGCAATGAGCAGGGACAGCCTACATGTATGCCTAGCTTGCAGGAGCAGGGAAAATTGGTACTTTTTCCAAGTTTACTGCTTTGTACCACAACCTAGAAGATAATCTTTTTTTAATAACATGCATGTTTCTGAGAACATATTAAAAGTTGCCGTCATTCTAGGAACTGGTTGCCTTCTGTTGCCTCCCCTGAGAGAGGAGACAAAATTGCATGACTAAGCTGAGATCCTGCACAAGTATGATTTCATTCAGTGGGAGGCAGAATTAGAAGGAATGGAGAATTGCATTTTGGAAAGGTTCTGCTGCCTCACAGGTTTGAGACAAAAACAGATGCTAGAAAGAAAGGAGTTACCCTTGTGAAAGTTTCAAGAGACAAAAGGAAATTCTTGTAGTATTTACCTTTATTCTGATTGGCTTAAACCAAGCACAGATTTAAAGCTTTCTAGTTTCACTGTTTTTGATAAACTCAGTGATGGCCTGCATGCTCAGAGGACTTGTGGTCAAAGTTAAAAGTCTACTGGAGTCAAACAGCAGTAGAGAGGGAAGGAGAATATTGTGTTTGAGCCTCGTTTAGCTGTTACATGAGGGGATTACACACAATGTTTGAACAGCTTGAGAACTTCATGGTATTTTTTCCATCTGCTTTTTGCACTTCTTGTTATTTCATAGTGGAATATAAATTTGATAATAAACATGTATACCATGCCATTTTTCAGTATATTGGTCATCTTGTGTGGTTTGTTCTAGCTGTCATCTGCTATACTGCAGTGTTCTATAATAAACTAAAACTAGGTCTCTTCTTTTTTGGGCTAAAAATTAATGGTTGTTATACTGTACATGCGCTTAGTGAATTGGTATCTGCACAAGTGGTGGCTGTAAAAAGCTGAGAAATAGATTGACAAGCTTGATAAGGCTGGGCTGTTTGTAGTTGTGTTTGTGCCTAAGCAGTTACAGGTGATAGATGTGCAGTACAAGCTGTGGTCTGACTGTGCAGTAAATGCGCGGTGCATAAAGCTAAAACAGAACACTTAAAGAGTACCTTCTGCTGCAGTTTGAAAAGCCTTTTACCTGAGAATGAAGAAATTCACAAATGAAGAATAGCTCATCAGACTCTAGACAGAGTATTTTGAATGTGAGCCTTTAATGAATGTATTCATGTTTTCTGGTACTTCAGGGGTTTGTGTGAGTGGGTGGTGTTTTGAGGTTTTTTTTTTCTCCTGTTATTTTACAGCAGATAATATGTTCCTCTAGTATTAGAGTGCTAGATAACACTAATGTTGTTTTTCCATCTGAATAGCTGGTGTTATGTCAGCCCTCTGTATTTGTGGTAAAATGAAGGTAGAGATTGAAGCCAACCTACTTACACTTGAAGATCACTCCCTCTGCGTAGGTCTCATTGAAGTTCTGTTGGCACAGAGGTGCCAAATTCTTGCCAGTCATGTCAGCCTGGGGCTGTGTGTACCACCTTCAAGTACAAGCCCCTGTGCTCACATTTCAGGCTAGAAGGTTCTGATCTTTTTCACCAGAACAGCGGTACAGAATGGGAGCAACACTGATTTGCATTTAACAGGTTATTTGAATTAATGGTTGCTCTAGTCACCTGTGTGCATGACATCTCAAAGAACCAAGAATCAATGTTATCCTGTGGTAAGTATCCTGTATTTATTTACCTTTCTTATTTTTCCAATGTGAGAAGAGGAAGGTCTTGCACTTTTGTCAGGCTGAAGTAGACTTTTCAACTGTGAAGCTTTTAATATACTGAAGCTTAAGAGTTGGGGACACATTCTTTTCCCACTGTTGTCTTTAACTGTCACATTTATAAATGGTCAGGTGGGATCAAACTGTGAGCTGGAACACCCATCCAGAGCTGGGTTTTGCAAGATCTGTTGACCAAGATTCCCTCGCTAGCAAGTAAGCAACTTACACTGTTTTCTAGTATTTACTGTATTTATGCATATGAGAACTTAACATGTTTACATTGGTATTTGCATGTCCTCAGAACAAAGGTCTGTGTTACCAACTTAATTAACTAATGACATTACAGAAGTGTGCCCCAGTGCAGAAGCCTTATGGCCATAGGCAGCTACGTGGCACTAGAGGAAGGTTGAGTATTGGTAGATTTGGGATTTCTGGCTATGTGCATTCTCCCATCAAAGCTGTTCATGGTGCATATGAAAAGAAAACTAACGTCAGTATCCAAGTTCCTAGAGGTTTCAGCTGTCCTGAAAAGCCTGAGGAGTACAGCTTGCTGTCACTCTCTAAGCAGGTACAGGCTGTGTGAGAATGTAAGAGTTTGGGGAGGGTTTTTTTTCCCCAGTTGTTCTCTAACGCTTTGGATGTAGTAAAGAAAGAGTTGTAACCCCTTTGAAGCTGCAGGAAAAGAGCTAGAACCACAAAAGCTCAGGTGTGCCTGAGAAAGGTGCAAGGAAGAGCTTCTTGAGAAAGTAAGTTTATTAAGCCACCTAAGTCAATGGCAATAGTCCAAAAAATTCTGGAGTGATTCTGCACAAATGAGACTTGGAAGTGCCTTGAATTCCTTTCTGGTTTTCCTTTTAGTTGGTGACACTGCTAAAGGAAACACTTTTGACAGTCTCCCAGGAGCAATGGCCTTTAAGAATAGCAATTTATACAATTGAGAAGTGAATACAAATAAGGCCTTTTTTATGGGCTGGAGTCTCCAATTGAAAATAGCTGTAACTTTTGCAGTTGAGCTCTCAGTGTTTAGATAACCGAAGAGAAGCTGTGCTTTTAGTAGAAATTTTAGATTAAATTGTAAAGATAGAAATCCTGTGTAGTGATTTTCGGCTGGAATAGTTAATTTTCTTCACAGTAGACAGTGTGGGCTCAGAGTTGCTTAACCCAGGGATGTTTTAGTTACTGCTGAGCAGTGCTTACACAGAGTCAAGGCCTTTTCTGCTTCTCATCCCACCAGCTAAATAGGCTGGGGGTGCACAAGGAGTTGGGAGTAGACACAACCAGGACAGGTGACCAAAGGGATAACCCATGCCCTATGATCTATTGCACTGATGATCTTAAAGCTCTTTTCCAACCTATGATTCTATGTCACGCTCAGCATGTAAAGCTAGGGGAGGAAAAACAAAGTGGGGGGCATTCAAAGTTCTGGTAACCATTACAAAGGTGATGGAGCCCTGGTGTCCTGGAGATAGCTGAACATCTGCCTGCTGATGGGAGGTGGTGAATTCATTCCTTGTTTTGCTTTGCGTGTGCAAGTGGGTTTTGATTTATCCGTTTGTATTTGCTGTTAACTTTTTCCTTCCAATTTCTAGGGGAAAAAGTTGTCTCTGTGAGCATGCTGTCAGTGAGACACCTCTGAGTTCAGTCTCTTGACTCAAATTTTGTCAACAATGCAGACCAAAGAAGATCCAGCCTCCTCCTCTAAGGGAAAGGGAACTGTGGAAGTTCAGTACTTGTGCTCCACCTGATTCACAGCTGGATCCCCAGCGTGACAGGCAGGGAGCCCAGGATCTATGCACAGAACTGGAAGTTGCTGAAGAACACAGGTGACTTGGAGGAGGTAAAGTGCTAAGTAGTATGTGTGGAGAGCAGAGATCAATAAAGAAAATCCACAGGAAAGCAGGTTCCATTAATTACCTTGCCCATGGAGCAATATGCTTGCTTGCTTATAGTTTTTATTCAATATTTAAGGAAAATAAAAATTGTGTTCTTTCATTTGGATTGCACATTTCTGGTCATATCCAAGAACTAGACACATTTCTGTACGTGAGCTGTCCTTGCTTCAGCGCAACCCTCAATGGTTTCACAATGAATCCCTAGAAGAGTATCAATAACTGTCTTGGAAAATTAGTCCTAGAATTTGGAGGCACGGATTTACCTGTTTCTATACATGCTTGCTGCATCTGACACTTGCCAAGGTTCTAATCAGTCTCACAGTCTATAATCTCTCTGCCCTTACTTCTGTAGACACAAACTGGTACCAAAAAGAGAAGTATTCATTGCAGGAGTCCAGGGAAGGATTTAGGCTCTTAAAATAATTGTGGTAAAGATCTATCTATCTGCTTAATTAAATGATCACCTACATTGATACCACTACTAATGCTAAAGGCTGTAAACAAGTGTGTAATGCAGTGAACATCCCATTCAAAAGAAAACAGACTAACGAAGCTGTACCTTCTACTCAGAACTTGTAAAACTCCCTGTTCTGTGCACATACTAATCACAGGAGGCAGTATAAAAGTGCTTTTAAGGAGCTGGGTGGTATTTTTGCTGTGCTTGGAATCAAGACTCCAAGGTCAACCAGGTAAGTCACCATAGGATAACTGGACATCTCTGAACATGAAGCTGTACTTGAGCAACTGATTTTCACTATTAAGACTACTCTACGTAGAGGATACTCTGAAATGCAGGTCACAGCCACATCCTGCTGAGAATGCTGGAGGACAAGTGCATGACTTCTCCTTGAGGTGTACCATGACACTAAAAATGAATGATTTTTAAGTGGTGAGAAAAAGTAATAAAACACACTGATGTGACCTGATAACATTCTATAAAATTTCCAGTTCCCCCCTTTATTTTGCAAAAGGCATAAAAAAATACAGGGCTTCATATGAGATGTTTTTTTCTTTAAATCTGCATTGGAAAGAGCAACAGCCATGTGGTACAGCTGAAAAAGGAACTGAGCTAGCAAACCCCAAATGGGAGACTAGCTCTGAGAGGCTCAAGTATAAAGTGTGATACATCATAAAAACTTCTTAAGGCTGTACTTTCAATAAAAACATTTGCTCCTGTGGTAAGAACTGACAATGAAGATCTGTTATGTTTTACCAAATTCTGGGCTAATAACAGCCAATTCCAGGATGCTGCAGCTCCCTCAGGCGTGCAATTCCCTCCCATTCAGTTGACAGGAAAAATGAGCTTTTTTCTCAATGTGAAAGTGGGTTGTGGCATCTGCTTCTTTGAATTCGGCTGGCACGTCCTTCTGCTCACCTCTTGATTCACTGCTGTTAGGATGGTTAGAATATCCTCTCCTCTGCAAAAACAGAAGAATGTTTTGTATTAGGAGGCAGTTAACATCAGAAAGATTACCACACTCTCATTTATGTCGATCTATACCAGTACTAACGGCTCCTGTTTTAAACAGGCTTCAAAGCAGTTAGCTGAGCTGCTCTGAACAATCTGCATGGTGGTGCTCTGTCCTGCGTTACTGTTTTCACTTTGAGTGAGCGCTCCCACTGCGTATCATCTCCCTCTGCACCCAAATCAAACTCCTGTCATTCATAAGGAGAATACAGGTGTTGCCAAAAAGAAGTTTATGGAAACACTTACCGAGGACAGCTGTGCTCCAAGTGGTGGCACAATGCCTGGATGTACCAGGTCCCCTGGGATGGGCTTCTGTAGGAAACATAATCTTGCAGGGTAGCCATGCCCAAGAGGAAGTCTGCCTCTGCAGGGATGCACTCAAGCTGAAATCTTGCATCTGTTTCTACAGAAGCATCTGGCACTCTAGAATCTGTTTCAATGTTCACACCTTCCAGGCAAGCATCACCTTGGCAGGCCTGAACAAAAAAAACTTTTGGTTTTCCAGCAAGTGAGTAGCAATTCTGCCCAGTGAAGGAAGTGGTCAGTTCCTGGATAGATACTTCCTGCCCATCAACACCATATATCATGCCTTTTTTCCCATGAGACAGGATACAGCAAACAAAACAGTCTTTGTCCTTGTGGTCTTCACAGCGGTAGATGTTCACAGTCTTACGGATTTCTTCTGCAGTGAGGTCTCTATATACTGCTGTTGTAAAATGAAGCTTGCTAAAGACTCTCTTCAGAGCCTCTGTAAAGTAAACAGAAGGTGAATTGGAGTCATTTCATTATATGAAAGTTGGACTCTGCAATTGCAAACTGCATTTCTAGAGATAAACCTTTTTTTTTTAAATCCTGCTACCCCACTATTCAGGTAGTTGCACTCCTCCTCTGAAAATAATCTAGTAATCTACTAATCACTAATCATATCTCTACTGAGTTCCCTTAACTCTCATTAAAAGGCTTCCTTCCAATCTTGCCTATGTCTGAAGAGCACACAGAACTATTAAGCAAGCTTTATGTCTTTCCCCCACACACACTTTACAGCTAGTCCCTTCTCTCAAAAGGGCAAACCTTGCGCTCCAACTCTAGAATTAACTTGGAGTTCAATTCAAGCAGCTCATTGATAGCTTTTCTCTCTTGGCATAGACAGTGCAAATACATCCATCTCTTAGCCCTAGGACCTGCAGTGAGCTATGCTGCTGCAGGACAGCCTGCTAAAATCAACGCCCCTGAATAGCACAGTAAAAGTCCCTAAGTTCCAACATCTTCCTTCCTCGACAACTAACCCCTAGTTCTGGTATCTGTTTCTGATTCCATGAATTTTAGAGGTAGTATGAATAAGGCTGATACAAAGCTACACTAGCTTGTAAAGTCCAGGCTGAGGTTGCTGCTTAAGATTGCAACAAACTCAGTAAAACTGCAAAATGCTAGTGAATTTTACTGAGTCAGTCAGTAAAAGCCTGATAAATTGATTTAAGTTTTGTCAGCACAGGCAACACAGCTGACTCAGCCTCTACAACAAAAGCATCCTAGAAAGGGAAGACTGAAATTCAGACCTTTAATACAGAAAAAGAAACGAGGTTTCTATTTTTGAAGATATCCAGGCTTAGCTTTAACATTCACTATACCTGCATCCACATCTGTCCCATTCCGATCCTTCATGTCTTTGAGTTCTGGCACTCTTGCCCTGGCTTTTGCAAAGTTGTGATTATTCAGGATGAGGCACACTCCACGGGGTCGGCTGGTCATTTTGTAAACTTCAAGCTGTTGAAAAGAAAGACCAGTGGTGAAAACTACTGCAGTCTCCTCCAGGTACTTCTCAGCCCTTGCTGGTGGCACAGCAGGGTAGGCCTCCCTATACAGCTTTGCTCCTAGGATCTGGCAGTGCACTGCCCCACCGCCTTTGGGAGTCTGTGCACAGCATGACAGCACCCCTCAGACCCACAATCATGCTCAGCCCACATGGGTGCTGCGCTCACCCACTTTTTTGTGCCCAGCCATCTGCCAGCTGTGTATTTGCTGGTATAATGAACTCAGCCTGTCCTGCTGTCCTTGCAAATGTTTCTCAAGTTTTAACGCTGCAGCAGCCACTGCCTGCAACTTAGCTTCAGAATAAAGGATGTTACAGAGTGGTGCGTTTTTCCTCTTCTAGACAGTGCTCTTAACAGTTGGGTTTATAATAACTAACTGTTCACCTCCCAGAGGGACCATCTCTTCTAAGATGAAAGTATGATGTTTCTAAGAAACTGACTGGCTTACCTGGGAAGATTCATTCCGTCTGCTGGGAGAATCAGGTGCCACAGGTGACAGCAGGTATCTGGCATGGGCTGAACACAGACAAAAAAGTTTTAAGTACAGAATGTAGCATTAGAGATAGAAGAGAAGCTCTGTTCCTATTCTCTACAAGTACCTCCCAGGGTAAAAGTCTTCTCTGAAAACACTGAACTGTGTTTGAACGGCTATTCCTGTTAGCTATAAACCACTAGAAAATCAATTAAAAGGGAGTAAAATGTATTGTAATCAGTTAATGAGTGGATACTAACCAGGTTTTAGAGAGGCACCTGTGTAAAGAAGATGCCACTGGTGTAGTCCAAAAGCTGAAGACCAAAAAATCTAAACATTAATTTGAGAGTTTCAATTACCTTCAGAGCCTCCTCTGGTGCCCCTCTGTTCCTCTGTGACAAGCATCTCTTCTTCACCTGAAAAGTATTCATTATTAGTCCCATATGATACCCATGTGTCACTGCAAGAATAACTATGGGAAAGAGGCCTTTTTGTTTTGTTTTACCGAATTTTAATTCATACTCTTCAATTGTCTTCAACAGGCTGATGTTAATTTGTGCACAGAGACTCTTCAGGGCACTTAGGTTGTCTTCTCCCAAAATCCCCTTCTTCTCCATCTCAGTGAAAACGTCAAGCATTGTCTGGGTAATCAGAAAGGCAGTTCGCTCTTAGGACACATCCATGCTGCCACTAGGAGGGAAGTTGCAGCATGTGCATGTGCACCTAAGCTTTAATGTACTGTAGCAACCATTTTGAGCAATAGCAGAAGTGGCTATAACCATGCAAGTATGGTGTAGAGATTGTTCTGAAGAAAAAGGGGACCCACGGGACAGGAGCTCTTGCCAAACAGTGAGTGGCAGAGCACAGTGGTCACCCAAGGATCTACCAGAACAGCTATCACTAGATGTAGACAATCTCTCCTCTAAGAAAAGAGGGAAAATGCTACAAGACTTTCATTAGACAGAATGAAAGACCCAGGAGTCAGAATTGCAGAGTGAGATAGCATAAGAGCAGCTGGTTGCCTGCAAGGCTGTTTGTAAACTCCAAGCTTTTGGGTCTTAGCCTTGGTAAGGATCTGTTATTTAGATCTGTATTTTCTGAGTTTGGAAATGAAAGAAAGCATGAAGTAACAGCCACAGTGACTGATTTTCTGTGTTTGAGAATGGCTTAAAAAGCAGCCGAAAGAAAATCGGTTGGGCAAGATGAGTGAATGTGCTCGTCAGTCTTCCATTGATCAAAGCCACTGGGTCCCCTAAAGCCCTACGTGGTGCTTGGACGTGAAGGCTGCTGTGCCTGGCACAGCACTGGCCCATGCTCCCTGGGCCTTGACACTGCTGCAAAATCTACACAGAACACTAGCACAGACAAGTCCCATATGGAGCAGAGAGCTGATAATCCCTTTCCAGGCGCACCATCCTTATGGTGTTCTCATCATAAGAGTGACACCATAAGAAAAGTGACACTCATTCCCCTCATAGTAACCCAAATGCATCTATGGATTATAATGATCTTTCTTTTTTTTTTTTTTTTTTCAATAGAAGGGGGGTGGGGAGGGTGTTAAAGAAATTCTTACAGTCTTAGGGATTAGCCTGCATTTTGGTAATTCTTCCCCCAAAAGAAACTTGAAAGACTTCAGCTCATCTTCACTGATATCTTCTGACAACTGAAAGAGCAGATATCTAGAAAGAGAAGTGGAGGACACTGTTTCATGGTGTTCCCAAGCATGACCCTTAGCACAGTTTAACTCCGTGCTACCCAACGCCTTCAGCCCTTCACCCCCATCTCCCTCCCAGGTACAAATGTCTCTCTATTATCTTTTAAAATGGGGGACGTCACTCCCAGGACAGCCTAAAATCAAACCATTTTCAGCTGTAATTAAAAAGACCTCAGTTTTCCTAAGATCAAAACCACGCTGAAACTTTCTGGAGTTGAGAACAAAGACTCTCACCCACTCACTTACTGCACCCGGGCAGGGAGGGAGGGAGGGAGGCCTTTGGGGGCTGTTCAGTATTTCAGAAAGGTGCAGCTTTAGTTTTCTGCCTTTTACTGGACAGAAACTTCAGCTTTCCGTACGGCTTGTACCTGCTTTCTCTTGGAAGACGCTTGTGCCGTCGGTAAAGGCTGACTCCGACCTCACAGCAGGGCAGC